TATTTCGCGACTGATCTAGTTTTTCTCCGCTGTGCGTCGCCCATCGCCGACGTGTCGCAGCGTGGCGCTGTCGGCGTTTTTCACAACGGACAGCGTTTAACGACCGACGAACGCACGCACGCACCGTCGCTAGAGCAATCAGACGAACTCATTTGAGCGGGTTTCCGGGTTCCGACGTGACGTAGCGTGCGGCCTTCGGATGAGAATTCGAAAATCGTAGAGCATTCGTTATTACAAGCGAGGAGGATGCTGTTTGTACGTTGGGAGGGAGGGGTCGTAAAGCTCGAACGGGGTACCTCTAGAAGCCCGGGGGCGGTGACGTCGGTAAGACTACTGCACGCTGTAACTACTGATTACACGATAGATGCTGTGCCACTGTACCATCGCTTGTGGGTTTTATTCCACATCTAGCGATCGGAGAGAGAGATATAACGGCGTCTTCTCTGTGTGTTACGGGTTCGACGTGTGTGTGCACGAGCAGTCGCGACGGCTGAATGGAATCAAGGACAGTGTAACGCCTTAATCTGCCTTCGGCCTATCTACCTGGTATGTCAGTATGGACTGCACGTCTGTACGTCTGCCTGCCTGCCTACCCGCATGTACGTCGGCCTGCCTGCTGCCTACCTGCACGTCTGCCTTACTGCCTGCTGCCTGCCTGTCTGCCTGCTTGCGGCTGTCTGCCTGCCTGCCTGCCTGCACGTCTGCCTGCCTGCTGCCTGCCCTGCGCCTGCCTGCCTGCCTGGCCTGCTGCTGCTGCCTGCCTGCCTGCCTGCCTGCCTGCTGCTGCCTGCCTACCTGAGTCTGTCCTTACTGCTTGGCTGCCTGTCTGGCTGTCTGCTGCCCTGCTGGCCTGCCTGCTGCACGTCTTGCCTGTCTGCCTCTCTGCCTGCCTGTCTGCACGTATGCCTGCGTGTCTGCCTGTCTGCCTGCCTACCTGCCTGTCTGTGCTGTCTGCCTGCCATGGTCTGTCTGCTACATGCCTGCACTACTTAGCCTACCTGGAAGCCTGCAATATACCTGCTGTACTCTTACCAAAATCCCACTCATACACCTACCTACACGCCTCCCACCCTCACAACCTTCCCATACCCTGGATAAGGTAAGTAAAGCAACATGCGGCTAGAATACTCGTAACCCACTCAACGCTGCCACTGGCGCACTGACACCAACACGTAGTATTTCTTCAGTGGAGAAGATGTGGCGGTGAGGCAAGACAGTACTTAGTACTGCAGTGTGAAGGTCTTGAAATTCCATTGAGCTTATACCAGACTGTAGTGTTAAGGCGCGCGGTAGTACATAGCACATGGCACAGATACTAAGTATATCGATGTCAGGAGTGGCATAATATCAGGAGTGTCATAATACTGTATAGGACTAAATGTTGTGATCACACGCCTGTTGATGTTACCACAACACACCGCACTCATTAGTGATGAAAGAAAGTAAACTACTAATTGCTACTGAGTCAATTCGAAATGGGTGAAACCATCGAGTTGTTACGCTCACTATAATTCTATCAGGAGTGTATAATTAATAATCTATATTATACACTCTTGCTTCTATATGATACCTAAGGGGAGAGGGTAGTACTGGGGGCGTTACAGTGCACTGTGGACTTGAGAGAGGTGGGTAGTACTGGGGATAGTGGTATACAGTAGACTTAGGAGGAGGTGGTAGTACTGGGGACAGGGGTTACAGTGGACTTAGGGGGAGTGGTAGTACTGGGGGGCATTACAGTGGACTTAGGAAGGGAGGAGGTGGGGGTAGTACTGGGGGGTGTTAGAGTGGACTTGGAATGGGAGGTGTACTGGGGGAGGGGGGGGGGGCGTTACTGGGACTTGGCGCGCAACGAACCTGTCAGCAGCAACTCATGCTCCATTTCTCCAGGAAGATGTCGATCAGTGTCCTCCTCCATGAAGCTGAGCCGCACTACGTACGGAGTAACATGCTAGCAAGCTGTCACAAACCTACACTGTCGCCAAGCACGACACACCTGTCACCAAGCACGACACACCGGTCACACGCCTACACTGCCACCTGTCACACACCTACACTATCACCAAGCGCGCACACACTGTCACCAAGCACGACACACGGTCACAACGCCTACAGTGTCACCGGTTACTAAAGCGCTACACTGTCGCACACCTCAGTATCACACGCACTTACACTGTCACACACCTACAGTGTCACACGCATACACTGTCACCTAGCGCGACACACCTGTCACACACCTACATTGTCATTGACTCACCGGTCACACACCTACAGTGTCACCTGTTACACACTTACACTTGCCACACGCCTACGCTGTCACCGATTACACACCTAGACCACCGCGCACGCGCTCTGATCATATACCAACGTCCCGATATATCCAGTCCACGCGCGCGAACAGCGGGGTTTCAAGTAGCTTCCTGCTTACGGCACCTACTTTAGTTCGGCAATCCGTGGTCTGTCATTCACGATACAATGATGACTCTCTCTCTCACTTCCCGCTACGAGAGTGACACGGCCGCAAACAGTTTTACGTGGTCTGTCATTCACGATACAATCAGGAGCATGATACAATGCATACTCTCACTTCCGCTTCTACACTGACACAGCCACTGACAGTAATATCTATACGAACTCGCGGCTTTCCCGTGCTGGAGTCAACACTGTGCGAGCACACGACCGCCTGACATCTACTATTAGTATTAGATGGACTGGGGGCTCTCCCGTGCTAGAGTCAACCACTGCTGCTAACACACCTCCGCGGACAATGTACTGAGAGGCACGGCGGATATCCGCACAGGCAGACGAACTTCTAAACCTGTACAGGTTACACATACAGGTGCATTAGCGGTAAATGTAGCTCGGCTCGATGCGGTGCCACGGAGGTAAATATATTATATGTATACACGGCTATACACCTGGTCACACGTTCTTGCTACTGCGCTCCCAGCTCAGAGCGCTAATCCCTCGAGGGGCGTGCTGCTCGTCTTTGCCCGCTGGCCAGCGCTACAGTGACTACAGAGGTAGAGGTGACTACGGTATTCTCTGCTGCTGGGTGCCACCCTGTTATTAGCGGGGCCTGCTAGAACAATGAGCTCCTACGAGGATCGGCGGCGCGCAGCGGCGGCGCTCGCACGATGTCGCACTTGTCACTTGTCCTTGCACACTTGTCGCACTTGTCACGTCCAACCAACCGACGTCTTCTGTCGATCACCCCCGTCACCGGGGGACGCTGCGGTTCACGTCGTGACGCACGCCGTGACGGCTAGCGTATGACGCGTGACGCTTGACGCTGACGTCTCGCCATGCGACGCTGCCTCTTGACGCTGACGCTTGAAGCTGACGCTTGACGCTGACGCTTGACCTTGACGCTTGACGCTAACGCTGGGACTCTGACTTGTGAACGCTGACGTGTGACGACGCGTGAGCCCACAAGCTTCAAGACGCCGTCGCAAAGCGCAGAAGAGCCTACAGGGTCTTCGAGGCGCCGGTGTTTCTCTCTTCCAAGCCGAGAAGGCGAGTTGAAACGTACGTACGAGTAGAGAGGAGCGGTGTTCCTCTCTCTCAAGCCGAGAAGCGAGATGAAAGTATGTACGAGTAGAGAGGCCGCCGGTGTTTCTCT